TACTGCTCAGGTGTCTACTCTCTTGACTCCTGAAATTCTTCCCTACTACCAGAAGCCAAATATGATTGTTAACGAATACGGCAACTATTATGAGAGAGGATTTATTTGCAAACCTCGTTTCTTATTCAATATTTAAAATTGCATTTCGATTGATATTGCACTACATCGTCACTAGATCCAACTTTTTATAATGTCTCTATGGATCACGTTTACTTTTTGTCTTTGCATTAATAATATGGTTTTACTACAAAGTCGGTATAGTGTGCAGATAAATGTTTTCTCACTCAGTGTTGACCTCTGATTTGATGGTGGTAGTTTATTTTTTATCAAACAATTAGTTGGATAATTAGGTTGAACGTTTAAAGTTATGCCGGACTGCTTAAAATAATATTTCATGCTAACTAGTGGTATTGATTTTCATCTCAAATTATTTATGTCAGCCTCAGTGACTTACATTATTTTCAAAGTTCTCGAAAAGGTTGATGCAGTGATATGAAACCAGACAAATTATGGTTCAGATCCATATTTTGATGCAGAACTAAGGTAATAGAATATTGAACAGTCACTGATTACATAGATTATTAAATTATTCACAATGTACGATAAGAAAAAGTACAAATCAGTTGATTCTGAATTGACAGTTTTGAAAAAAAACACAACATTAAATGTCAGTTATAAATTTCTTCAATCTGTTCTATTGATTTCTTGTTACTACGGTGACACTGTTTCTACACGCATTTCCTTCTTGTCCATGTGTCAGTCAAGACTACCTTCATTGAATAGCACTGTACTTTCACGCAGATCTACTCATATTGCTTGGATGAACTTACAAAAATGCTCAGCTTCCTGTCTGTATTGACAGTGGTAATAATAATGAGAAATTCAGTGAAGAATGAACCTTGAAAATGTCAAAAATACACCCAAAATGTCCACTGACATTGTAACAACAGAAGACAAGGGCCAATCAACAGATGGTTTATTAAGGAAATCAATAAGTATTTATATATTTTCACGTACATTATTATAGCTTATTCAAGCAAACAAACACAGTCTTCTGATTGGCTGTTTCTCACGGACAGTTGACCTTGCATTTTTTGTGGCTGTTTCTTCAATGTCAGATCATCTATATGTTATCTGTATCTGCCTATGCAAAGTCTGCTGTGATTGGTTGTTGAATCAGTCTTGTTCATATTTTCTCACGACTATTATCTGCGACATAAACATTGAGGCAAATTATTGTCTACCAATTGGCTAGCATCCTGCTCTCGCCACAACATGCTACAATGCGTAATGCTTGGCTTATACAATATAAGATTTTTAAACAAAGCATTTGTATCATATGATTAAATGTACAACGATAAACTCTTTAGATGATCATCTTAAATGTGTTTCTTTGTACTAGTCAAACCCACTTAAATTAGCATCATATTTTTTTATAAAACTGCATTTACTTAATCAACACATAAATTAGACTGAAATTAACCGACATGTTTCTAGGCTAATCAAATGAATTAGAATAATTGCGGCCAAATACCAGTGCGCCCATAATCCTGTCTTTTGAATTACTTAGTAACTTGTGGTTTAAACTCAATTCATAAATTAACATTCCTTAATCTGACTTGTATTAGTATTAAACATGCGTTTCATAAGTGATTTACACCAAAATGTCACCTACTGACTAGGTATTATAAATAATTTATCTGTCTGATGCGTTCATTAATTTGGATTCCTTCTATACACACCATAGTGAGAACTATGTAGAACATCGGTGTTAATCAGACAGACTACCCCTGCATTCAGCAGTTTGAATAAACTTCCGTTTGTTTCATAAGTGCAAATGACTATTTACTTCAAACTCACCTGTATAAACACTTAAGATTTTATGTTTTTACAGTCTTCAAAAGTCGTATTCGGTTGGAAACTAACTGTTAACTAAAAAAATTGTCTGACGGTTGCTATTGAAAGGAAAAGCAGATAATCTCTCGGTAATTTTGTTCAGTCTTTGGTTATAGTATGTGACTTTTATTATTGTCCTGAGTTCCGATGTTATTGTCAACATGATTGTCCGATTAGTTGTGTACTACTTCGTGTACACAGAACATCAGTGTTACCACATGAAAACTTAACTAACCAGTATCGTTTATCATACATGATTTCAAAAAGATCGAGAGAACGAAACAATGTCAATACTCTGATATGAATTATTCGGTAAATACATACCAAATAAAGACCACCGTTTGACATGAGAGAAAGTTTGAAACAATTAGAATTTTTTGATAAATTTAAATGTTCTTATTGAAAGATGGAATCCATCTGCACAATATGATGTATTTGTAGATTAGACCTCGAATGATTTGACTTCATATCTCGTTGTCGAGTCGGTTTAAATGAAAATTAGAAAAATGTAATTCATTTAAAAAAACAGAATAATATAGGAGTGAAGAGTAAAGACGATGACAGTTGACACTACTATTTGTCACACATCCATATATTATTATTATTCCCTTGGTTCCGAGTGAAACATAGGGCTACAATAACACATCTCCACCTCGTTCTATTTCCTGCTGTCCGCATCAGGTGAACGCATGATTGCACATTATCTCTAATCTCCTTCTCGCCACACTATCTCCTCCATGTCACACTCGCACACAAGACCCACTCGTAGCTTACTATTGGGATTCCACTTCAGCAATGGCCTGCATTGGGTGCAATGTCATTCGACGGCCTCTTCAGCGTGTGTCCGATCCATCTCCATTTTCATTTGCATATTTGTTGAGCAATCGACTCTTGGTTGGTTTGTTCCCAGCCAGAGTTTTTTGTTGCTAATTCTTTCTGGCCCGTTGGCCGGTCACTTGATTTTCAGTATGGAGCTAGTGAACGCAGTTGTTCATAAAATTCTGTAACTTGTTGGAAATGAAGAAGTGGCTGATTTCACATTTATGTCGATAATCCGAGTCTTGTTGTTTATGCTGGCTCTGTGCGGAAGATTTCCAAAATGGTTTCAGGTTGATGAAGGCATATCTTACCTTCCCCATTCCGACTGCCTGTGGTTGAACTCTACTTGCTAGATAAGTAAAGGAAGTAACCTTTGCTACAGCCATCACCCACTGAAGGTGTTTGGTGCTAGTTGTTGTTGCTGTTGGTTGGCCATCTTCATCACCTCCGTGTTCTCTGTCTTCACCTACAGTCCTGCCTTCGTTGCCAGCCAGCCTCTTCTGCCAGTTTGTTGCTTTTTGCATGCCTCTAATTCTTCGGGTTTGCGTGGCATTAAACACCAATTATCCACACGCGAAATCTAGATCTTCTAAAGTCTTCTTATCGGTCAGTCCAACGTCTTCCTTCCTGTCTTCTCGCTCACCACGCATAGTCTGACGCATAACCCAGTCCACCACAATAAAGAATATCATCGATGATAGTAGTAGGCAGCCTTGCCTTACTCCTATAATCACTTCGAACGCGTCGCTGAAATTTTTGTTGTGGACCACCTGACATATGGCATTATCCTAAAGCCAACTGCCAACTGAGGTTGACAAAGATTTGGACACTGCAAGTTGTAGTTTTGAAGCACTTTCCAAATTACTTCTCGGTCAACGTTGTCTGGTGAAGGCCTTTGTGAAATCGATGAAGTGGAGGTAGACAGAGGTTTGAATGCTTTTATGTGCTCTGTTCGATGATGATGATGCGCAGAGTTGCAATTCGGTCAAGACATTATTTGCGTTTCTTGAATCCACCTTGTTTCAGTGGTCGTAGTTCTGCATCCAGTGCATCCTTAATTCTCTCCAGGATGATTCAAATGTGTACTTTGTTTGGCTTGGGTAAGAACACTATTCCACGCCAGTTCTTGCAGATTTAAGCATGAGTCGCCCTTCTTTAGTAGCCTGGCAAGGTAACCTTTCTTCCAGTCGGCGGGTATCTTTCCTTCCTTCCTTCTTGCAGTAGTGGCGTGAGCACCTCTGTCGTAGTTTCTGGGTCCATTCTCAGTGCTCCGTCTAGCTATGATGCTTTCCCAGCTAGAATTCAGTAGTTTGATCGCATTTAGGATTTCTGCTTTGAATGGAGGGTCGCTGTCCACTGGTATGCATTTGTGGGCATGCTCTTGGTGGTATTTCTGGGCGAGATGCAGGTGACGGTCGATTCAAGTGTCCTCCAATATGATCATCCCATTATTTTATTTGTTTCTCCTCCTTGGTAGTCAGCTTCCTGTGCGCATTTTTTATATCTTTCACCTGCGTTGGTCTCTTCCCAAGATAACTGATATAATGTCCTGAGGTCTCTTTTACCTGCTGCCTGTTGTGTTTCAGTTGCCAGTGTGTCGTAGAATTGTCCTTTGTCTTTCTTAGCACTCTTATTCACTTCTTTATTCAGTGAAATGTACACTGAACTCTCAGCTCCCCCTTCTATTCTTCCTCTTTGCAATGTTCCGTTCTCTGTTTTTCCATTCTCCTCGCTTCTGTTAGCTTCCAGGAATATGTTGAGAGCCATTCCTTGTCTCGTCTCTTCTTTCTTCCTAGAAAAGTTGTACACGTTTCTTTGAACATCACCTTCAGGGAAATACATTCACATAAGACTTGCCAAAGTAGAGCAAGCGTAACGGAAATAATTTTTGGCACTCACACAGGGAAGGAGCCTAATACTACGAAAAACTATCACTTCAGCATATTTGTATTTCCACTCCCGATAGTTTTGTATTGAACCCTGAACGCCACATCATTAATAATCTTATAATTCATATCCATACTATTTTACATGAACTGAGAAAAGGAAGTAACGTTTTGCAGGAAATTTCAGATGTTATAAGACACTGAGGAAATTAAAAAGTTACTGAATAATTTATTCTAAACAACTTTACTGCTTTTTTATTCTGTTAAAACACGATAAATAACACAAATCAAATTTGGCGACTTTTACACTTGCCTGGATTTTTGCCATGCGTCACTGGTGACAACTGGAATTCCAAAAATATTTATATATATTCTATGCATTTGTTTTCATCCTGTTAGGTTGACCAGCAAACAATTACAGCTAGATGGGGTAGACCATTGTTTTCTAGTAGTCTTTATGCCACCTGCTGCCTTCTTTTAATCATTATGGCTTCTTATTTCGAGTTTCATCGACTGGAAACATTTGAAGCAGTATATCGAGGCACTGGACCGGTACCATTCAGTGTAAAATTCTCCGTTAAAGGCGAAAAAGTTAACCTGTACTTGAGACTTGGACTGGCAAGTAAGTGATGATTTAACAAAGAAATATTACGAAATTGTTTCTCAAACAGTAACAGATAAAAGTGTTTAAAATAATTTAAAAAAGTGTATTCGTTGGAAATAACAATACTAATCACTGTTGTCGTCAAAAAATAATTTATTGTGCACCATGTCATTACCAAGATTAATTAGCAAACTGATATGATTCAGTGACCATGACTACGAGATACTGTTACTCGCATAAAGTTTGGAACTTGTCTCTAACGTAGATTTATAAAGGCATTTGTGTTTTGGGACAAGTTCATATGTCGAAAAAATTATCTCCCAGCTCCAATTTTCCAAAGAGGCCAACGAAAGATGGAACGATGACGAAAGCATTTAAATATATGCATAAATACAACGAACATAAGAGATATTTTAATCCCTGGCATAAAATAATACGAGAGTTTGGGAAAATTACTTAGTGAACCTTGCATGGATTCGATGGAAACAAAAAGAAAAGAAAATTGAATAAAGTTTCTTTCATAAAACAGGTGTGTAGTTTACTTAATTACTGAAGAATTCGATACATAAATGTAGGTCTACGCTACATTTATCCCTTTACAGAATTTTTGTCACAGCTGTTTTGATGAGAATTCTGAAACGGGAGTTGTCAGGCGTTCTGTATACACTACAGTGTGGTAAGTATTTTGGTGATCATGCATATTCAGAAATTCACCAGTCCGGAGATTAGATAATGTTGTCAAAAGTTCTAAAGTTTTGTGGCAAAAATAGAAAATAAGAAGTAATCTAGTTCTTGCTTTGTAGTTAATGAAACAGTAAAATAGACGGCCAAGGACCAAATGTCACTACATTTCTACTATCAGAAAATCAGGTGATATATACGTAAATATACAAATTTTATGTAATTCGGTTTATTAGCAGAACCGATGGTTAGTCGGTTGAGCCAACAGATCCATTCACTATTGTTTCAGTTCGACTTTTTCAATTATATACTAAAATATCAGTACACTCAGAAATCACAAGGACTGAATTATTGAGAATAAAGGGATGGTCAATTAGAGCTGATAACACGAAATGAGATCAGTGAAAAGTGTTATTGGCTCACAATGTACAAAGTAAAAAGAAAACATTACAGTAACTGTTAAAGTGACCAAGGAAACAGCTAAATAGAAAATGAAATTCAAAGTATATAAGAAAATAGCAGGGTAGTAAATAACCGTGGTATGTACTTATCTACCCTTTTCCTTCTGTTCATGCATTATTGATTTGCCGAGTCAAGAGATCCATTTTTCTTTCTTATACTCCAAAGAGCACAGTGTCTATTGCAAAATGTTTTCTGAACTCATTTTATCAGTTAGTTGAATAACCATTGTGATAAAGGTAAACAAACATGTTTTTTCACATCCTAGTTCCTTTCTTTTAAATGGAACGTTTCAAGTGGGTTATAAATAAAAATTGGAAAGTATTCTTTACCAATATAGAAATTATGTGAGCTGAGGTGAAATCATCCTGTTTTTTTCTGATGATCATTGAGTTGTAAAGACTGTTGTTTAGCAATGCAAAATATGGAATAATGGGTTTCAAATAGAATTATATTACCCATTTATTTAATAGACGTCATGTCCATATACATTAGATGGGATTACCCACATGGAAAAAAAGGAGTATATAGAAACGCTTTGCAACCTGCCGCAGACTATAATTAGACTGTTTTAGACTAAAACTCACTTTTGAAAATATGTGAATTCAGTTCAGCTTTTTAAAACTGCTGCATATTACTTGTTGCTATAGGGCTTTCCACGTATGTCACCGATTTAGATTCTCATCAGGTGTAAATGTTTATTTCCAATTTATCGTTCTTTTTAGTGTTCGGTTTAATGAGTATTGGACATGTAGCTGTAAAATGGGTTGAAGAAGCGGATATCACTAACGCCTTGTTTAATTTGTATCTAAAGTCAATACTGGAGATGGCGTTTTATGTTTTGCAAACATTGTTTATACTTAGATACCACAGAGTAAGTCTATTATTTTTTCTTCATGTGTTTATCTACATTTCCCTAATGTTCTGCAATAATCGATGCCATTGTTAAATTTTCACTGCACTTGTGATTAGTTTCATAGCTAACTCTCCGAACACCACCTTCTTCTGTCAGTCGCTACGTTATCAGTCTGATAATTAAGTTTCGCCATAAAAAAGTAACAAAAGTGACAATTACTGTTAATTATTTCTTCTACTGATGATTCTCATTGTAGAATTTGGTGCTAAACAAAAGCCTTAATCCACATTTTTCATCAAAAGCTAACAGTTTGACAAACGCTTATCTCAGTATTGACTTTTAGAAAATACGGTCTTCAATATTTTCATACAAAAGTGTAGCGTTTTAACGAAATCAAATATAATAGTTCGAACCTTTAACATTGCATTGAAACTTTCCAATAAATAAATAGAAGGAATGAAAAAGTACATTAGTTCAGACAACTCATAGAAGTTATAATTGCGCACATGGTGACTATTTAGAAATATGAAGCTTTGTCAGAAAGATTATCACACCATGTAATAAAACATTTATTTCTATAATCTTGAAATACTTACTACGATTTGAAGTAATTCACACATTTGAAGTCATAACCTAGCGATTTAATTCACGAAGTTAGGTAAATACTAAAAGAAAAAATTAAATGCTACTTTTCGAGTAGAAAGTTCATGCTACGTTGCTGTAACAGTCGACAAAGAAAGGTCAATTTATTGCAAAAATCCAAAATGTTAAATAAATTCACTACCTGTTTTGAACAGTTATCTTCCTTGGATGTGTCAGTGAATTGATGAAAGTAAACTGAGAGTTTTTAAAAGATGGAGACATCATTCCCAAACTTCTTTTTGCATATTTTCCGTGAAATAGGATTTTTAATGGTTAGTGAGCACTGAATTATTCATTTGTCACTAGAAGGTTTTACAATCTGTGATAATCACAAACCAGATATCTAATTTGCAGTAAATGCTTTCTAAATAATCTTTTATTGCGTGATAGAGCAGATAAAATATGGGTGATCCTATAGGCAATTATGAAACACAGTTATTTACAGGAAGTTTAGTTTCCCAAGAAGAAGTAACATCGCTGCATTCTGAGTTAGCTTTGACTTGACTCATTTTCCAACTTCATCTCCAATGTTATACCACTTGCAATACATTTCGTGCAAGCTTCATAATGCATGGCACTGTGAAGTGGTAATAAATCAGTTCACTTTATTGTGAGCATTCATATAAAATTTACAGTAATCAACTGTGGTAGTTGCTGAAGTAGATAAATATGACTACCTTAGGTACATTTCTAAATTTAAACTATTTGAAACAGGCTTTTCATTTATTGTAAGTATATAACTCGCAAATAATCTTATGAAGTATATTCTTGTTATGATGGCAGTACACATGTCGTATTCTAATTTACAACTGGCACTGTGATCTTTCAAATGCAACATTTTATTACAAAGTGGTATTTGAAAACTTAAAGAAATTTTGATTTGTCTTCGAATGCTAAATGCACTTTATGCTGAGATAAATGCGAATGGGGCGAAAACACATGAGGAATATTCAACAGCACGTAGGTATTTTCCCTCCACTCGAATGGATGAAAATATTGTAGAAGTAGATTATAATAGCCAGAAAACAGGTTGCAAATAACCCAAAAAAATGCATCTTATCTATACATTAATCGCCATGTTATGATTTCATTTATTTGTGGAAATAATTGTGATGAGAAAAACCCACACTTCTTATGTGATTCCATGAGTAAACATATCGTTTTTAATTTGGTCTAAGTTGCATTCGTATTTCACTGATTAACGCTCTCGGTGGGATATATGTATGTGTAAATGGCACAACCGATTAACTCAAATACTTCGAAACCAAATTTTTACTTCTAAGGCCAGAATATGATATTTTCGACATTCGTGTCTGTTAAAGAATAATGACCAGTTTACAGTACTACTATACATTTTGTGGGAGTGTTGCTTTTCATCACTAAGTATTCATAACTGAACTCTCTGCGGGACATATAACATTTTTAACTAGCGCAAAAATCACTTTCACTACAAACAAGCTGTCACTTTATGAGCGTGTTAATGATTATTAAATTCAGACTAGATTTAAAATTTGCTATACCAAAACCTGTTTGTTAAAATGATGTTCGTTTTATTGACGGTGTAATTTTATTGTGTTCACTGCTTACTACATTTCATTTTAGCTTGTCATTCTACAATACAATGAAGTTATGGGAGCTTGCCTTGTCCACCTACTGACTACTAATTTATGCATATGGGCTGATGTATCCGTCGGAAAAATTGACAAAACTCTATCCTATGGTAACCAGAAGAAAAATAGTGAACAGATATACAATTACACTCACGTGAATATCGGAGACCTTGATCACCACCATTTGACAACAGTAACCGGTAGTGGTATGATTAATTATACTATCCTGGAGAATAAAACACACTTTTATAATTTAGTCGATATTTCCTTTTATCTCCTACCCACGGTTAGTGAATACTGTTTACTGGCTGCAGCACTCCTATATGAAATTGTAATGCGAATCGGTCAGCCAACATTCATTGAAATAGAAAGACCACATGAGCCTAAAAAGGTCAGTAATAACTCCATGCATACATGAAAAGAGAACACTTTTTACCAAAGTCTTTAGCTGGATCTATACTTTATGTCATGCTTTTTTGCTTAATATACCCTTTTTATCACAAAAAAAGAAAAACTAAATTATTTTTCACTGGGAAATGTGTCAAAAGGTTTTATCGGAAAAAACTTCTTTACAATTTTAATTATTATAAAGAAAACTACACTAGCTAATAAAAGCATTGCACTTTACCCTGAAGATAAGACAATAATTTAAGTGTCATTTAAGTTCAGAACTATAAATGTGTTAGGCACTTCGCATAGCGTCAGTCCGAAAGGATAATATTTTACCTTAAATTACTCATTGTATTGAAGATGATTCAAAGTGAAGAGCTATTTAAAAAATTGAGATTTTTAAACAGAAATTACGCTTTTATTGAACCAAAAAGGTAGGGAGAGGGAGAGAGAAATCAATTACTCATGTTAGCGTGAAGATCTAGTATCTAACAATTAATCATCATACTGAAACACTGAGGTTCTGTGTGAAAATTGTTCTTATAAACAGGGTTACAAAACATCTGTTCATACTATTTTGCAAAAACATTCACTTAGTCACGTGCTTTTACCCAAAGATAATTCCGATAATTCAAAAGTTTTCTAAGTTTCAATGAGGCAGGAAAAAACAGCAAACTCACTTCATATATAAGTAATAGTATAACTGTGAAACAATCATATTACTGTACACTAATCATATTTATTTCACAATGACTTCAGAATATGAATTTATTAAAAACGTTTTTGATTTAATAAAAAATATTTGTGCAAACATTTCCAGCCTAGAAATTACTTTTGTTCTAATCACCCCTTTTTACCAATACACACAGTGGATATTACTGAACAAGTAAGTGAGCAAATAGCTTTACCTTACTATACACTTATGATATTCACTGATCAATAGTGAAATCAATCATAAATATTTGCTAGAGGCACTTTTGACTAAATTATTACGCTTCTACAAGTGTATATACATAATATTGATTCACTTACGATGAGTACATTATTGCCTACCGGCAGTATTACTGCTTACATGATCTAGACATCTTCCCTTACTATGCATGCATAACTGTTAGCATATTCAGTAAACATTAAGAAAACGGGTTGAGGATAATTCTTTTCCCATTAGTAAATTAAATGAATGAGCACTTTTTCTAAAAGAAAAAAGCAAACATCCCTGAAGATTTTTTCTGCCAAAAATACGATAACCCGAATACTTTACAAATCGTTTAAAGAATGAAGTTTGTTTGAAGAATATGAATAGTTCACAAATTTTTCCAATGTGATGTCGGTAGGTTTCTATGAGATCTATGTACCTTGAAAAGACTTTTAAGTGCTTCCATATGAAAAATTCATCGGCATGTTTGTACAACATACAAAGAAACATATGTATTTGCAATTATTAGGGTTTTCTGAGCTGGTTGGCTTAGTTGCAGAGCTTTCGTAGTCCTTCTGGACAACATTTTCAGCTCAATTTTTAGCTTAAAGCGAAATGATTAAAATTTTTTCATGAGTGATAGAATTGCGTCTCCGGTAACCATCTTTACATAGGTATTCATCATTCTCTATTGACTTCGATTTTAAAATTTCTGGTCAACTGATTTACTTTTTATTAGTTGGTATATTTGGTCTATCATGAACAAAATTTAAATCATTTCACTTTATGCTAAAAACTGCGCTGAAGATGTCCAGAAGGATGACGATAGCTCCACAACTAAACCAAACAGCTCAGAGAACAACAACAATTGCGAATCATCCACCTGAACTACAAATCTTCTCTATTACCTCAAAACATATACATTACATCTAAGGAATTATTAAAAAGACGGTTGCAGCGAAGAAAATTTTCTTTTCGACGAAGTCATCAGCTAGGCTGTACATTCGTGCATTTATGATGAATGGATGGGAAAGTTCCAGAATAATTTCCGGTCAAGGGGCAAATTAATAAAATTACAATTAGGAATCAAAATGCCATAATAAACAGGGGGATGGATAAAGCTCAGACGAAGTAGCATCATAATTGTTGGGAAAATTGATATAGTGTGCAGTTGGGGGTTAAAAGTGCAGAAATAACAACAGTAGACAGGATGCCTGGATAAAAAATCTAGTGGGATCATAACTAATGTGACGGATAATCGTTTATGCAGTTAGGCGTTAAATATGTAGAAATAATAAAGTGACAAAACAGACAGGAAGTTCTGATATGAAAATGTGGTAGTGTAAATAGGGATTAAAAAAACTTACAGATAACATGAATAAACATGAAGTTTGGATAAGAAAGGCATTTGGATGGTCATTGATAAGAGAATTACATGTTTGTGATGGCCATGGCAGGTACAAGGGTTGGACGTATTTCTTTGGGATATATAGCGTGGGTTTGAGCTTCTGGATAGCTAGTGCCTCGACTATGCCCAGACGTCATAATTTTACTCCCTTTCATAGGTTTGATCGAATCCTGTGTATTATTTTGAAGGATTTTTCGAATGGCACTGAATGTCTTGAACTGACCAGACGTCCTGTCACTGAACTTCACTCACGTTTTCGTTCTTCTTTTACTAGCCAGGCTGGATAGTGTTCACAAGCTCGTTTTTCAACTTGGCGCATGGTACGGCCAATGTACTCTGCTCCACAAGAGCAAGTAAACCGTTATATGCACGTTGAAGTGGCCCAATGCGACAGCTTGTCTTTCGCATTCTGGCTGAACAGTTTCTTACAGGAAAACATCAGTAGTAGGCTCGTGGTGAAGTATGTTTTCCTCAGAGATTTGCTGAGGCGTTTACGAGGAATTTCTAATTCAATGTCACCTTTGAATTCTAGATTCAGCAAATGTATCTTCTTTGGACGGATTGGACTTGCTCTGAAGTCTTCTTTGATTTGAGATTCTTGCCTATGAATCTGGGCGGAAAACCGTTTCCCATTTTTTCTCCAAACATCCTGTCTACTGTTGTTATTTCTGCACTTTTAACCCCCAACTGCACAATATATCAATTTTCCCAACAATTATGATGCTACTTCGTCTGAGCTTTATCCATCCCCCTGTTTATTATGGCATTTTGATTCCTAATTGTAATTTTATTAATTTGCCCCTTGACCGGAAATTATTCTGGAACTTTCCCATCCATTCATCATAAATGCACGAATGTACAGCCTAGCTGATGACTTCGTCGAAAAGAAAATTTTCTTCGCTGCAACCGTCTTTTTAATAATTCCTTAGATGTAATGTATATGTTGCGTGATTTGAAGGAAAGCAAGCTCGTCCTACGGTAAAGGAGCTGAACAAGTTTCTACGTTTGTCCGTCAACCTTTCTGAGACGAATGCAGATATGTTCTTCTTGAAGAATAGCCTCGAGAAACATATATATTGAAAGATTTACCTTCAAACTACCAGTTAGTGTGGTCTTTTAAATGAGTAGTAGCCATTAGCATAGGACATATGCGTAACATACACAAAATAATAGTCTTCACTAACGTTGCGTCATAGATGATTAAATAGCACAATACTTGACAACTATGTGAAAGTTTTGGGTTTAATTTCGGGATAATACACTCCTAAACCTGTGGGAAACCCGAAAAAGAGAGAGGGTCAGGCGTTCAGCTAGCGACCCCACTGCTACCGAAACTGTTAAATTAACCTTCAAATGTTCATTCATATTGCCTTTAAAAAATTGAATGTATACCTAAATCCACTCTGAAATGTTTATTCTTGACAATTAAAAATAATAGTCACTGTAATTACCATATGTAGTAATACACAAAATGACCGACTTCTTGTGCAGGTTACGAACGTATAGAGATGTCTTTCGCATTAGATGGTTGGAGGCAATCAGTAGGAAGGCTTGGACCTAGGTTTCATGCTAGTTGGCACTCGTCTGAAAGGCGTATCTGCAGCCTTGAAGGAACTCATGTCCCTTCTGATTGCAAGCCACCTAGCATGGTGGCCAGATTGCAAACTTGACTGATAGAATTCAGTCGGCAGCAAAGATAGGACTAGACACATTAAACTAGTTACCGACTAGTGTCTAATCCGAGATATCTTTTTTGACTGAATGCAACTGCTTGAGTAAATAGAATTTCAGCATAGATTAACTGCGCTGATCAGCGTAGTAATTTGTTTGGTTCTAGTTCATCACAAGGGAACACAAAACTACTCAGTTGTATTTGTGAATCCCTTCATTATTTATTGAAGTCAACATGGTGTATAGTGACTTTATAATTCTTTACAGTTAAACCAAATTGGAAAAACAATGATTGTAATTGATTTGTTTTTTTCCTGCATGAAGTGTGTAGATGATGTTGTTATTATTATTACTTTTGTTCTATGTCTCCAGTGGTGTTTTGCTAAAACAAATAAACTCTTATTTCGTATTGTAAGCCTAATCATTATTCTTACTGCATGAACATTGAGATATTGATTTCAAAGCGTTAATGATTTTTACAAGTTACTCAGGATGCAATGAAGTATTTGATTACTTGGAAAGAATGAAGTAAAAACTACTCATTGTTACGTCAGATTTATTTACTAATGTTGCAATTATTTATTAGCACTGAAGGTGTTATCCAGAAAGGCAATGAAAGCCAAGCAATTAAACTATTCGGCTCAACTAATAGAAAAACACCAGAAATTTTGTATCAAGAATTAAATAAACTAAAAGTAACAAACTTGCTGAATGAGAACTGAATGCTTTCATATTTGCCTCTGGAACGTTGAGCAGCAGAGATAGTGAATGACAATCCAGTGTTCACTTAATAGATATAGGCAGAAAAGTCTGCTATTGCAAATACTAAACTATATATAAATACTATTTTTTTGAGTAATTTATTAATAAAATGAACTTCTTGTAATGCATCTCAAATGAAGTAAACACAGATATTTCTGTGTAAAATGGTTAGAGCCCTTCTTTGAAGCTTAGTAAACTTTGAATCCAGTGCAAAATAAATTTACTGTTTAGTTGCATTGAAGTTTCAGCAGCATTGAAATTTTTATTTTATACGGGTGGGATTCAGAGCTCCAACCCCAACCAGCCTTGGCTTCTGGTCTCAGGACTTTCTAGAAAATAAGATGACTCTGCAGGCGTTCATTAATAATAATAAAAGCTTTATTTTGAACAGGGTTTATATAATGTACAGAATTTTCTAAAGAGTTTATCGCATTATATTTTCTCTTTGTCCAGGATAGTCAAACATAATATTAACTGATGGTAGGTTGCGTGACATAATTCTATCTAACCTGAAGTGCGAACCAGTCGAATTTGATATCTTTTCATTGTCATTTTCGAGAAATACACGACATTTTGTCAAATACCAATTATAAAAGTCCACGAGTACATTTTGTGAACCAAGGACACAATCCGTGAACATTTATCTTATGTTTGACTGCTTGGAGTATTTCATCAGGAACTGATATCAGTTACAGAACCATTAGAAAACCTGGGAGTACTGGACAGTTAGTTGTTTCGTCCTAGTTTGGGACTGTTCAACAGTACACACCCACGGCCGGGGTTCAAACCAAGGACCTTCTGGTTACAAGGCGAGCTGGTGGACCATTAAGCCACTGGTTCCCGACCCATTGACCATACCATGAATTCTAACTTCTGCCAATTCATCACGTAGCACGACGATTTAGCAATATCTTGTTCGATGAGTTACTTTCTGACCTCACAGCTCCCACTAGAACCTCAGGTTAATTGCCTGAATAGGGCCAGTCACTGGTGAGTGCTATGCCATGAATTGGCAGAAGTTAAAATTCATGGTCTGACCATTGGACTGGGTCCCAGTGGCTTATTGGTCTACGAGCTCGCTTTGCAACCAGGAGGTCCTTGGTTCGAGCCCTGGCGGTGGGTGCGTGCTGTTGAACAGGCCCAAACTAGGACGAAATAGCTAGCTGTACAGTACTCCCAGGTTGTCCAATGGTCCTGTAACTCATGTCAGCTCATGAATAAATCTTCCAACCTATCAAACAAAATCCTTACAAAACCAATACTTGAAAATTATCTTATGTATTGGAATAAGGATAATGCTTTTTCTCATGTCTAGTTATTATTATTATTTATCATTATTTCCTTCAATTCCTAGAGGAACATAGGGCTCCAGCCACACGTCTCCATTGCGTTCGGTTCTCTGCCTACGTTTTCACCTGGCTCCACATCTGTCCACATGCTTTCATTTCCTCTTCACATGATCTCCTCCAAGTCACCCTCGCACTGATGACCAAATTGCCACTTCCCATTCGGGTTCCACTAGAGAAATGGCTTGTCTAGTGATGCAAACTGATGGTTTCCTCATAGTATGGCCAATCCACCTCCATTTCTTCCTGCATATTTGTTGCACAACCGGTTCCTGGTTGGTTCGTTCACTGCCAGAGATCTTTGTTGCTTATCTTTTCTGACTGGCCATCTGATCTTCAGTAGTATTGACTGAAGATAGCTGTTGATGAAAGTCTGTGGTTTGTTCGAAGTGACCTTCGTGACGCGCGGTGCAAGTCTCTGATCCATCCGTATAGTAGCACTGACTTCACATTTGCGTTGAAAATCGTCATCTTGTTTTCATTTTCATGTTGAGTGCTGTTGACCTCCACACAGATTTGAAAGTAATGAAAGCTTGCCTTGCTTTCCTGATCCTCTCTACTTTGATATTCTCATCAGCTCCATCCGCTTGTAGTTGAAACGATGCTTCCTAGGTACGCAAAGGAGGTCGCTCCTTTCAGATTTCTCCCTTTTATGCTGATTTTCGTCTGTTGTTTTTGTTGCAGTTGTTGTTGTCCAGGAATTTCCATTATCTCTGTTTTCTCTACGTTCACGTGAAGTCTTATCTTTGATGCTTCTTCTGCCAGCTTGTTGCTTTTCACTTGCATATCTTCCAGCTTGCAAAGTCCAGATCCTCTAAGATTTTGTGTGTGTCCATTTTATGCCTGTTTCCTCATTACCCGGCCCTCTGTCTTTCACATTATCCAGTCTACCGCAACCAGGAAAATCACTGGAGATAGTTGGAAGCCGGCTTGTTTTTCTCCCATCTTCACTTCGAGGGGTTCCATGAGTTTCCCGTTGTGGATTACTCGGCATGCAGCATTGTCGTACAGCTGTTGGATGCGATGCTTAATTGTCGGCTGCTTGTCTAGTAGAAAATCCTAAATTAGTGGGTTGAAATGTCTTGAATAATCACCGGAGTAAACAGTACTATTTGGGGTCATATTTTACTAGATTTAAACAAACTAAATAAAAGAAATTAAATGCATTATATTGATGGAGGTTTTCGGTAGCCCTGGCTTTAAGCAAGCCGCCAATATATATATATATATATATATATATATATATATATATATATATATATATATATATATATTAACACCTACTGTCTCTCAGCTGTGAAGATGGCCAGACAGAAGAGACAAGCAACAAAGTAATTTATCAGTCAGTGAAAGAACTAACAACCTTTTATCCCAAAAGCATGCTGTAGGAAATGGAGATGGACTGGACATACAGTATGGAGATTCTCAACTAACATCACGCGTCAGGTGGTCGAATGGAATACAAGTAGGAAATGACGAGTTGGAAGCCCATGGGTGACATGAAGGAGGTCATGTGAACACGAAATAAGGCCTCGTAAGCGGTCGTAAAATCATTACAAGATAATGGTATAGAACCGATTGAAATGGAATTGGAAGCTTGAAAAACCAAGAATGAATAATAATTATAATAACTCTGCAAAATTATAAATAAATGTTATTAAATAATATCTACAGGTATAAAAAATCCCCTCGGAAAGACTGCCTCCTAATGATTTACTCAATACACTAATGTTATGACAGACACCTATTAACTTAGGTAGACAGTAAAAACTTAGTGGAGAAATTAGCTTATTCTGGACTGTTTCAAGCTGTCACTTGAAATAAACATGCCCTTATGGATAGTGGGGTGGTGAAAACTTGGCAGAGAATTCCATTACAACTGCATTTGATAAGATGAGTCTGTTTTGTGTTTATGCAGCAAGACTTCAACTGGTGTTTCGTTACGACCGAAACTTTTTTTAAACAATGTAAATGTTTGAGAAAAGTTTGTACATTGCAAAATGGATGAGATTATTATAAAGGTAAAGGTAATCATTATCTATGTTTGCAGAAATTAACCACTTTTAATTTTAAAATTTGGAGCAAAGTCATATCATTTGCTTTTTTGAAATGCGAGCAATTGAGGGGATTCCGGGCCATGGTTTTGCTCTAAATATTACCAGAATTAAAGCTAATCATTGGGTGTAAACACAAACTAACTATAAACCTATACTGAATAATTTATGTGATTCATTTAACTCTAGTTGTTCGGTAAAGATAATACTTGATGGGAAGTGTTTTGTTATTTAAATCCTTTTATAAACACGATAGTTGCGGTCAAGGTAGGCCATAATTTTTATGGGAAGCAAATGAAATAGAAACTTCAAAAAACTCTGCTGAATCGGAGTAGTTAAAACTTGTGATATTGTGAATAGCCACAACTTAGTAACTAAAGTATAGGAATCGTAATTTAACATGTTTCATGTTCCTATGAGACACGTAAGGCATAAGACATTGTCTGTGAGTGGGTGTGTTTGTAGTGAAGGCTAGAAATAATAGGCCATACAAGTGACGTAACATTCCATTGGTGTCACCCCAGCACCTTACTTTCTCTGAAGAATAATCTTATGAATAAGCTCTACTACATATTCTGAAGCTTATGTACTACTTAAAATTTCTGCATATCAGGGAAGTTTTTTCACCCACTAGGAGAATCGGAAATTGTCCCTCGATTCTCGCATATTCTTAACAAGTTGTTACTAATCGAAGTTTGAAAATTCCTTTGCGTTTCATCCACCATCCATTCACCTACTTATAAACAGGCCTATAATCTAAACTTTTAAAGACGATTCGCCTAGAAATGCAAGTGAAATGTTCCTGACTGAATTGATCTTTAAACTGTCGACTGATATTTCAAAAGCTTAAACAGTGACTGACATTTTTACCATAAATGACAGAACTGTTCCATTGCATCAGATTGAAGTTCAAGCTTACAAACAGTGCATTCGTTAGCTTGCAAAATATATTTATTTTTTAAGTTTCTTATCCCCGTATTTGTTTGATTAACATTTTGACAATTGCTTTTCAGAAACATTGAAAAGAATGTTAAGTAACTATACCAGGCAAACTTCACTTCTGGCTACTTTCCTGTTTCTCTTTAAACAGAATCATAAAATACTTCGAGATTGCCGAGGATGGAATACAAGTTCAGGATCATGGTTTGGTATTATTACAGTACTGATAATTATTGCATTGACAACATTGACAGTCTCTACACCAAATCATATCGATTTAAAGAAAAATCTATGGAAATGCATAATTCTTCTAGCTGAAGAAGCTGTCTTAAGCTTTTTCGGAATATTATTTGTTGTTATGGCATTTTACCAGACAAGACGTTTAAAATTCAGTATAGCAACAAGACAAAGTCGTGTTGATGAATTTCTTTTATATACAGCATTCTTTTTTGCTGCTAACTATACAATAACAACGATTATACTAGCAGCCGACTTTGAAGCGAAAGGGAGGAGTACTTCCAACATGGTAAAATTTTTTATTTCACTACTTTATTATTATTATAAAACCCTGAGTACTCTTATCCTTATTTTCATTTCATTCTGCACTAATTATAGCTCCACCGCTTTGGTTAGTGCACATACTGTCATAGTACTCTACACATAAATGAATGACTATATGCAAGGTATAAAAAATTATAACATCTGAAACATGGCAAACATTCGTCTCACCAGTTGTTCAATGCATGGCCATAAACCATTTGTTAAATTACACTAGTTTACAACTAAAACTTTAAGTAATTAAAGAAATTCTACTAACTGAATATAGCTAAATTGCTGGAGAAAGAGGAAAAGTGTTTACCACAACAACAAGACTTTGAGATATTCTTTACTTCGCCCTTGTAGTTTAATAAGTTTACTATTGCTTTCGTCACTATCCTAATTTGAATTACAATTTTTAAGTGAAGTTGTTTGAGTGGCTCTCCTCGCCTGTATGTGTCCGTGTGTATGAACGAGTGTGTTGTATCTTAAGATGTCAACAATCTAATTAATTAATTAAACAAAAAATAAATTTACTTAGTACTAAGTAATTTCAAAATATTAATGAATGAATAAACAACCAGTAGGTTTAAAAAGAAGGAATTAATTTCCCCAGATTTTCATGAATGATTGCATGTATGTATGTGTGTGTGTCAGAAAAACTAATTTCCTTTTTTCAAAAAAATTCACATACTATTGAATATTAATGGACAGTCAATGTGATGAGTTAATAACTTTTGCATAAAAAAGAATAGAAGGGAATTAAAGATTCCTTTGAATCAATCTAAGTAATTTCATACTGGTGGGAAGATGTAATTTAAATTGGAATGACTGAAGCAAAACATATTGGTTAACGTCTGATAACTGATATTTTCCTAATAGAAAAATGAACACGAATATCCCGCATTTCTATGCACTCACGCTTGTGGTAGATTTTTTTCATGGGAAATAGTGAAATAGGCCAATATATACTGAAATTATTTAAGACACAAATGTCAAATGAGCTCAAAACGTCATCAGTAAATATTACTGTCATTGTGTGTTTGCCGTCAAATAAAATTATTTTATAATTAAATATCAGTATGTGGCTTGTGCCATATGGGTGGAGATTGATACGAAGTGGCCAAGATTAAAATCGTCTGAAGGAGTATAGCTGTTCAAATTTGGATTTAGCTTGTGTTGTGCTCAGGAAATAATCTCATTGGACAACTTTGGTCCCTTTGTTTAACCTTGAGCCAGTCGCCAGCCAATCAGAGTGATTTATTTTTCACTTACCTAGCGGAATTTTAATGTGAATAATGATGAACACGATGTGATTTTCCTTAACAAAAAAAGTCCGTTACCATTTCTCTTGCCTTCTGGTATTACAGTGGTCCAATTGTTTATTTTCTGCGTACCTTTCATGCCTCATTCAGGTAATATGTTATTTCCCTGAGAAATATCAATGACCATGAAGAATAACTGACTTGGACTAGCTACTGAACCTTAATTGTGCTCACTGTTTACACTTCCTTGACTATTAGGTATAATATGTGACTAAAGTATTTGGTCCACAGTCATACAGAAAGTGTTTTCATAGGTCTTATCTTCTCATACTGAATTATTCTGTACAATAAATTTCAGAGAAGTAATTTAAACTGAATACTTGATTTTTGAAAGCGTTTTAATCTAATTCATTCTAGTGTACAACTCAAAAATGACATATTGGCCTTTCATGAAAATTTTATAGTTATGTTAATTGTAATTTTTCATTCGAAGTTAAGGCTTTGATATCGACATTTCATTCCATAGCTAGTAAATGAAACGAATAACAGCTGGTTTCAAAAACATTTTTTTTAATTCAGGCAGCTTATTACTGCTTATTACTATAAATCTGTCCGACTTAATCCTATAACGAATGTGATCGATGGACTTTCGATAACATACAGGTTAAAATGATGTGAACTACTAGTGAAAATAATCTCTTTAGAAAGAGGTGAGTTTCGACCTGAAGAGATCAGTGGCAAACTGTCTAGCTTCTGAATTGATTAATGCATCTTCGAATTCCCCAGCTAAGAGGATGTATCTAAGTAAGAAGTACCAAATATCAAGGTAACCAGGCGTAGGATTTCCTACCTATTGAATCATAGCGAAGCAAAAAATTGAATAAAATTTTTCCACTGTGTAATTTGTTCACCGGTAGACAAAATTATATCAGATACACTAATGATAAGTTTTAGGTGACAGCAATGAAGTTACCTCTTTGTAAACAGTTTATATGAAATCCTCTTCATTTTATCATATCAATTTATAAAGTTTAACAAATCAAATGATTTCAAGGTACGATGGAATCTTTTTTCGGTTGTTATGCATCTCTTATAAGAAATGTAAATATAGCAAATCAGAGACTTGGTATGAGTATTATTTGCCCTGGTAGAAAATAAATCAATAGAACCCAAGTGTTTTGAGACCGGAAGTTCACCTAACAAAAAACTGAAAAACCCATCGTATCGATGTTTCTTTGAGAGAAAATATTTTTATCAGAATGCTTTATTTAAAAGTGAGACATGCAGAATACTTCTCAAAACCTAAAACTTAATAAATTGAAAGGTCTTTGTTACATTTTATTGAGTTGATAATCAGTCACTTTTTTGAACGACAAACAATACTTACAGCTAATAGAATAGATTGAATGAGAATTGCGTATATGAAGAAAAATTCAGTAGGCTTGACAACTGTGCTAAATTATTAAAATAGGTTGAGTATACAGAGTACTATTGCTTTGCACTTCTGTTTAGTTTTTATTTCTGAAGAGCTGTATTAACACACAATGAATTAACATACTGAATAGCTGTCTGGAGATAACCACTCCTCAAAACATGGATAAAAAACTCCACAAAAGACAAAAATATTATTCGAATTCATTATTTTTCTCTCACATCTATCTAAGAAGAATGAATTTCATACTGTTCATAAGACAACTGGAAATCAGTATTTCACAGAGCTTCAGCACCGATTGCTGTAATTTTACTAACCATTAAAAGTAAGAAAATGTTTGACTTTGGATAGGTATAGTCATGAGTATTTCAAGACAATATTTACACTCACCTTATGGAGCATGAATGTTGTCCATATTTGATAAGTGAAATGGTGAATTAATCATAGAGTGTTCGGTAAACTTGCGGGAGGTCCATCTTCGATTTCCAGCCGGTGTACTACCAATCCTTGCCTAGTTTACTAGTCGAAAGTAAGCCTGGAAAAAATGGAAGGTTAGGCTTGACGCTAGCAACCAGGCCTCGTGGAAAAGACACCATAGCTACTGAATTCCAAGGCTTGAATCTGTATGTTCTACTCGAAATGCAAGGAACTGAAAAGAATAAAATTAAAATTTGATGGGGCGTTCCTCATTAGAATATATATATATATATATATATCATATATATTTTTCCTTTACGTTCCACAGTGGAACATAGGACTTCATGCTAGTGTCTTGAAGTTTTTGTAGCAGTGTTTATTTTACAGGATGGGGTTGCTAACCTCATGCCAAACCTTTCCTCTTCACCAGCATTGTTTGTGGCTTAGCGAGGTAAAGGAGTGTGTCGGCCTGAGGTCGAACCCCAGACCATGGTCATGGTCGGCAAGCGTCCTAACCGCTATACCACCGACACACACGTTGTGACGCTCTTTATAATCGAAAACACTGGATTTCTCTGTAATACGAGACTGCATTAAACATGAAATAGTGTGTAAGAACCTCAAATTTTGTGATGCCTGTGGTCCGATGCCATCATAAAGCAAAGTCAGTGTTCGTCAGTAGATTAAAACACAAAATTCCCATCCTAATATGTTCCGCAGTTCTCCGTGCTCATTACCACTTCCCAATATAATCGACAAATATTTTCAAAGTACACTGTATTACTTTGATAAATTATCGATACAAAATAGGCAAAGTCCATGAAAAATACTCTTGCTTAGCTTCTTTTTTTCAGTGAATATAAATTACTCAATGAATTAATTTTTCTTTTCGAAACATTGTCTCAATTCATTCTGGACAACTTAAAGTTAAGCAACGTAATTTCTGAGACAATAGGTTAAGAGGGAAGTTAGAATCTCCTGTTCAGATTTATATCTTCTTAATTAATGTCTCTGAGTGTTACAGCTCAGCTGTTTATATTACAGGGTATTACTTCAGATATACTTAAATACAGATGTGACCTATTGTTTCATTTTATGTCAATTCAACATCTAAAGTGCATAATTTAAACATAAAGTTGAGGAGACAGCCTGAATTTTGTAAAGTAGGATTTACAAACAGAATTCCACAAGTGAAAGAAGTTTACTCCCGTTAAATGGAGCAGTTATGAATGTCGAGATAAGCAACTATGGATTTCGCAATAAATTATCACGGGAAGTAAATATGCAATTGATTTTTTAACATTCATACAAACTTTTGATTTGCGGTTTTTGAATTTGTCACAACACAGAAGTACCATTCGCTCATAGAAAGACATACTTTTATTCAATAACTGGAGTGTATCATTATCCAGAGAAATATCGTCATGCGAATTCAACAGTAAAAATGATGTCTACTTACTGAAAAAAGATAACATTTAAATACATCAAAGTATTCTTATTTCAGAAATCTGCTAATAATATTTTATAGGATGTTTTCTCAAAATAGATCAAAGTCACTGTGACATATTTAGACAGAATACCCACTAAAAATGTTGTACCAAATTTAATTTTAAAGACTCAATCCTTCATACTGACGTAAATTTATTGCTATCAGCCATCTTATAAAATAGCTGTAGTCCTGAAGAAATTATAAACGTGAACAAATATCTCTAGCTTCTGAGTTTATAATATCTCATCAAGTTATCCTGATTTATTTATTTTTTAAATGCCCCTCTTTATGCAAAACTCAGTTCATTAGTAATATACGAAATTATTTTCTATAAGCCTTGTAATTTTGTCTTGGTTTTAGCTTATGTAATGTCTTTTATTTTAGGGCGATGCTGGAAGACATATACTGATTGGTCGTTGTTTAGTGAATGCATTTGAATTCATACAAATGCTGTTGCAAACATACTTTGTTCAAGACAGCTTCTACAGATGCAGTGATCGGATTGAACAACAAATTGTGAAACCTGGTAGACAATCAATTGTTGCTTTGCTAGGAATAAACCTAGCCTTATGGATACAGAAAAGTTTTCAGGTAAGTTAAAACTTGTTTTGTTTGTCGACTGCTTCTATCTTCTGAAAGCACTAAAGAAAGGCATTATAAATTTCTTTAAACCAGGAAAACTTATCTTTGAAAAATAAATGGCGATGACAGAGGATAGAAAATTGTGTTATGTCAGTCATTAGGCACTGACCACTCAACTAATGAATATTCTCTATGACTAACAAATATCTGACTAATTTACAGCCTTTAACAAAGAAAACAGGTGTTAGGTCAGTAGTCAGTACACTATATAGTGAAGTTTTATCAATGAACTATTTGCGTTCCTGATACAGTAGTACATTAACTAGATCAAGCGACAATAATTTCCAGGTCGACCGTTACTTAAGCTATCAAATAGTCTATATTTAATTAAAATACAGGTATGGGAATTTAATACTCTATTGGCTATAGATTGTCTAAACCGTATCCTGATTCAGCATGAAGGTGGATTTGCTTCATTTGTTTTTCCTCTTTACTGAACAGTGTTATGAATAGATTCTTTACATTTTCTCAGAACTAGTGCTAATGTTCCCCTGATGAGTAATAACCACTTTGATAGGCTGCCGCACACCAAAATTAAGAATATTTGTGAAACATAACTGTTACAATAAATTGAAATACCTTATTTTAGAATTCAATGAAGCAAATGAAGAACATAGGTAAACAACAGATTTGGTCTACTTATACCTCAAACGCTCTTCCAAACGTTCTATTCCCTTCTATACAGTTTCCTTATGTAAAAAGTAAAGCTCATTCCGGTCACATATTTAGATAGATTTATATATAATAAATTAGAATCAGAATGATTCACATTAAAGTGTATCTACCAGTCAATTTTTCCATTAAATACTTATAAATTAAAAATATGCTGGTAGAATTACTACTTTGTAAATGTGAAACCTAACAGTCATAACGAAGTTGCGGTTGAGAAACAGACTAAATTGATAAGCAGTTGGATACAGTCAGCAAAAAGCTAGTGACGCTTTTTAATATGTCATTATTCATAATCGAAACATCTTTTTAAGGCTTTTAGAAACCCGTTAGTACTATAAAGACAAAGTTAACTGCGTCACTAAGTAGACCATCTAAATATTTCATCCCTAACAATCACACACTGAAAAGTACGGAGTATTTCAGTTGATGACTCTGAATTTATTTATTGATCAATACTCTTAGTTTGATTTCGGTGGTTCAGTAAGGAGTGCTATTAGTGAAGTAAACATTACTTTCATTTCATTTTCTTTATCAATGTTCTGACTAGAAAGAAATTAATATTTTTATGTTGAGAAAATAAGTGGGATGATTTTGAAGTGAAGTCTTCTAATTCATTAACTGAAGAGTGATGACTTTCAGCATGATCTAACTTTTTTTGAGTACTACCTGGTCTGACTGATTACAGGATTGAAATCTCTATATTTTCTTTCATTCTATGCATTCCGAGTACAACATGCGTATTTAAGCTTTAAATTTTCATTAACGATGCGGCTGTTTTTTTACAAGGCGGGGTCGCTAGCCTCACACTCAACCTTCCCTCTTCTCCAGGTTTACTACCAGCTTGACGTGGTTTAGTAGTGGTTCAACTTGGAATCAAACCTAGACCTCCCAAATGGTTGATGAGCATTCTACCACTGAATAGCTGACGTACTATATTTAGGAAAACAATGCGAAAAGTTCATACATAGAGTGAAGTCAACTAAAGGTTTATAAAGAGTTAATCAGCCGACATTATGATCAGCCCATTAATCGTAGTAAATACAATTGATAACAACTTCAGCTGACATTAAATACTGTCAAAAATTGCTCTTACTAGTACTAGATTCGTTATTTTTATCTCTTCCTTACGTCAAACCCAATATCAATGCACTGTAAGCTTTACCTTGACTATCACTATCACTTTGTTTCCTTGAACAAAGCAAGAACTACAAATGTACGAGGATAATAAGAACTTACTTTCTATTATTCTGAGGATTCACTTCAATTGGTTACCACCTGAGCTACATAGAAATATCAGTTACAAAAAGGGTTTGAACATACAATTATCATGACGACAAAGAGTAATTGATAGGAATTTCAAGTAAAAGAAGTCTGAGATAGTTTAAGTTCTTAAACTAATAACAGCTAAAAGGATCGAATTGGTATCCTGTTATCTGAGTATGTTCATAGTTTATCAACAGGCACCAGATGCGAGACTGATTACTTCAAGATGCCCTGTTCTGTGGTCAGGTGATTACAATATAGAGCTGTTAAACAGAATTCAACAAATGAGAAGAACCAGATAGCATGCAAGTTCACTGTTTAACGATTGACTGGTGTACCATTTTTTACTTACCAGATGATCCAAGAAGCTGCTTTTACTAAAATAAAAAGGAGTAAAGCCACAAATGCTTCAGAGGTTTTCATACTTCACGGATTACTTAAGTCAGTGAGGGGAAATGTTTTATTTTCTACGTACTGGATGATGTAATTTGTAAAGAGATGATGAGACTTCTTGAAAAATGTTTCTGTGAATCTAGCAAATATTTACTCTAAACTTTGAGGTAAATTTTAAAACATTCTGTTTCAGATGAAAAATGCAGACATATTGTTTATGCTAGAGACAAATCGTGGGACGTATGGTTGGATATTATTTGTTGTAACAATGCCTATTAGCCTGTTCTATAGATATCATTGCACAGTATGTCTGTCGCAGTGTTTCAATAAATTATATGAAGATGAGGTAAATTTAAACAATATATTTTATTTTAACGTTTCTTATTAATTAAAAAATGATGGTATTAATTAGTATGAAGAAATTCAGCATTAAGAAGACTACTTTTCTGGTGGTATGTACAACGGCTTTGCTTCTCATAATGTATCGTTTACTCAAGGAAGTTAAAATTTACTCACATTTCCTGAAGAAATCAACTCTAAAATCTCTCTAACCTTTACAAATTTTAACTTAGCTGCTCAGCGGTGAATAACTCTGAAACTCATACCTCGAAAGTTTAATGTAGGAATTTTTGAACCATGGGGTTCGCTCATCGATGACACTGGGTCTATGATTTACAATGAAAATAGTTTGAATTTGTGACTTCTTGAAGTCTGACCTTACGACCGGATAAGGAAATTTTGGCCTTGTAATTCTCCTTTTTTGTTTGTAGTTACGAGTAGTTATATACTAAGGTGAAATAATATTTTACTGCTAAACAGTTTGCAGTCATTCTTTAACTATCCATAGTTAATAGAAAAACTTTATAAACTTAACATACGAATACTGTGGAATAACTTTTTTATCATAACTCGCCTATATCAGCATCAATTTCTTTTGATGATTGTGCTAAATAAATAGCAGACTCACAAACATTAATTTCATGAAGGCTATGACAGCAGATACTACAAGATCGAATTTTAGGATTTTTCATTGCGCAGCAGCAGCGAACTCTATCTTATCTGTAATGCTTCTTTACTAAAACTGTTCATTCTTTATTATTATTATTATTTTTACAGACTCAACGTTTTGAAGAAATGTGGCGTCATCAAGTTGATCCATTTACCGATATTCTTGTTCGGTCAACTGACTCACTGAGCGATTACGAACATGATGAGACACTGCTTAAACAAACTAATGAAGTTCAGATCAACACTGAATGTGAAGAAAAACAAAATCGCCGACTAGCCGTCTTCGCCAAAACCAAGCCTTGGCGAACATTTGACCTGACCGATGAAAGTGATGGAGAAAGCAAAGTTCCCCTACCGAACCTTAATCATCATGCCCACAACAACCTCCAAACAACTAGAAATGGAACTGATGTTACTACAGACATCAACACCTGGAGCCACAATGATGATAATCGTTCGACTCCTCCTAAAGAGCGAAGACCTTCCTCAAAGAACTTAGAGAACCAAACTGATGATGATCTTAAAAGTGATAGCATGAGACAGCCCTACTTTTATAATGAGGAGTGCCTTAAATTCAAAGCAAGCGAAACCTGTGCATCAGAAATCGGTCAAACAGCTTCACAGAAAGGTGATGACTATTTGAACAGATGTCATATGGGTTCCGAAAGAAACAGCTATACTGGTTTGTCTAGCCGCAGATATTCTTTAGTGATCTTACCATCATGCCAGCATTCAGACAAGAATGAGGAACTTAACTCAGTTACTGTCGATAGCAAAACGTTCAATAAAAATCTTCATGAACAACTATCAGGTGTCAGACAAATCCCAGAACGCAGACAGATTAGACGTCGTAGAACTTTAAAAAATCTAGAGACTGCTAAACATAGGGTTTTGGCAGCAGAATTAGCTCATCGAATGGTTATTGAACGCACCAGTGGAGCATCACCGACTGCATTTAGTAATGATCCAATTTCAGCTTTGTTAGATAATCCTAATCAATTTTCTCCTGAATTTAAAAGTTCTCGATCTACCATAGCCAATTTATGTAAACCTTCAGATACTACCGAATATTCTCCAAAAGTCACAAGTGTACATGGACCAACGCGAGAATTTCGTATAGCAAAAGCAGTTACCGAGACAGCTGCAATCACTATTGCTCCAGTTGAGTCAAAAATTGCAGCCAATATACCACTCATAACTCTAAATCAATGTTCAGAACCACCTAACAAAGATAACAGTTTGAGTCCAAAAGGTCATCTATCGATGTTGCATTTTCACCACAGGAGAAGTGCTGCCAATATTAATCGTGTCTCAGATGTCTTAAAAACTAAAGATGAATTCAAAAAGCATTCGCTGAAACGGCGTTCTTTTAGAGAAACAAACTGGTCTTCAAGAATCGGCTTACGCAAATCTTCTAAAAGCTTTATTTCTGGTTCGTCAACGCCTCAATCAAATCATTCTCGTAGAGACTCAAAATCCGGACAAGATAATTCGCACGAAATCTCTAGCGATAATTTAGCGACCACAAAATCTGACCAGTCTAATGATAAAAATACGAACACTGTTATCCTGAGCTCATATCTTGAAGTACCCAGTCCCGCACCAGTTCCACCAAAAAGTGAATAAGTAGATCTCTTTAATCAGTGCAACTGTTTTCTTTGATCATTCCCTTCTTCCTCCCTTTATTCTTCGTCATATTCACCAATTTCAGACGATTAGAACATCATGGGTACTTCTTTAATTAGAATTCATACTATCTCATTAATAAGTACAGATGAAAGAGGCAACTCAGGTATTTCAATTTTGATGGCTAGCAGATAATATCTTGTGTATATCATACACATATACATATACGTAAATCTATACACTAACCGTTTATCCATATCATTGTATAAATGTGCATATGTCAGTATTTTATCTCGTATTAATTTGATTCATTATTTCTTTCCTCTGATGTTAAAGTGAAATATTTTTCATCTTATATACTTGATACAGATAATTTTAGTTGCATAATAATAATAATAAAAACAGAATACAAAACTCATTGGATAGAAGGTTTAGAACTTTGTTTTAATGTCCTTATTTACATTTTATACGTCTACAAATATTTGAAGAACTACCTGAGGAAAAGATTCAGTTTATGAAAAGGAATGCTTGACTAAGAGTGAAATGCCCCGTTATTTTCATTAGTACTTTGTAGTTGATGTTAAATTTCACTTCAAAGGTAGGAATCTTCGCATTCAGACACTGCCTTTGATATTCCTCGGTATTGTATACTTATAAACTTCGGAAAACCCATATTTCACGTGGTACTAAGATCACAGAATGTATGATTAGGTTTCTGAAGCTACTTCTAACTATTTTCTGATGGGATACAAGTAATTATCACATAATAACCTGTTTAGTCCTGGAGTTCTCTTTGCCAGTTAATTTGGTCTGTAATACATTGTCTTTCACAAACTCATCAGTTATTATTCATCACTTGGAGTGAAGACTTTAGATTGTTAATTTGTGAAAACTTATTTTATTCAAACAGTAAACATTCGCACCTTAATTAATTGGGTGTTCTGGAAGTTTTATTGATTTTTGAGTTACATTTTTTATTTACTATATGCATGAATTTAAGGGATAATCTATGGCACACTTTTACGAAGGAAAATAAGGACCTAAACTGTGAAAGCAATAAAACTATAGGAATAAATTTATTTTTGTGACATATACATATAACTATATTAAATTCATACAACTACTTGTGTTTATCCCTAACTATCCTAATATTACAAAATAGGTAAATTTCCTATTTTCAAAATAGTGTTACCATTATCACTCTTGTTTTCATTATATTAACTGAGTGTTCATCAACCGAAAGAGTACAAGACTAATTTATGCAAAGTTTATGATGAGTTTGATAATAACCCATACATGTTAACTAAAAGATATCAAGGTTCAGGTAGTTTTGCGTTGGTGCTCATATCTCTGACACCAATCGCTAAAGAAACTTCAAAGTACAGCAGGACCTCAAGTGGGCATAGAGAAGTTAGAAGTGATGAAGAAAACCAACCAACAACAAGATGCATCAACGGAAGATATTTGAGAGAGGACATATCTCTCACTTATTTGGGGAGAATCTTTCTAACTACAGGTCGTAGGCGCTGATGAGGTTGTCAGAGGCAGGATCTGAAAAGCAAGACAGGCCTTCATTACTCTAAAATCAGTCTGTAAATCTACTACAGTATGTGTAAGGAGCAAGATTTGAATTTTCAAAGCTTATGTGAAGTTAATTCTTCTGTATGGGATAGAAGACTGCACTACTGACTTTCACCAACAGGTATCTTCGCTCGGAACTGAAGATCATATGACCACTAAGGAAAAGCAGCAGAGAAATCTGGGAAAGAACCAGCCTAGAACATGTTGCTCAACAAATATTCAGAAGAAAGTGGGGATGGATCCGACACACGCTGAGGAAACCGTTGATTGGCATCACGTGTCAGGTCAAGTAGAGCCAGAATGAGAATGAGTGATATAGAGGAGATCTTTCGGGGATGAAGATGTAAGCTTATGGGGAATCATGATGCCGGACAGAGAGGACTACAGAGGACAGAATGAAATAGAGTTGTGCTATTGAAGCCCTATTTTCCACTGGAAACCCAAAGGAATAATAATATAATGTGTGAATTAACGCTGGTTAAGGAGATGTGTGATATTTCACACTGTAAATAAGCACCCTTTCAATAATCAAACCTCAGACCAAGCCCACAAACGAACAACCAAAGACTAAATATTTTTTATGAATAAGCAGAACGATGAATCATTGTTTAAGTTAAGCAACTGATCAGTCTTAAACATGTTTACGAATTGGGCTAATTAAAAGCATATAAGAAAGATTTATTTTACACAAAGCTGAGACTTTTCACCCCTGTTTATGCTATGTATACTTCATGAAATTGATATTCTTGATTATAGCGTCCTCAGAATCATTACCACTAGATGAATGTTCATCAGTCCATATTCATTTTTACTAGGACACTGTGTCTTCTGATTACAGTTGACATGTTCAGGTTTATATAAGCAGACTAACTCTTAATAAATATCATTATCCTGAAGCTCTCCAACCTAAATTGGAACAGATTGTTTTGCCTCACGAAAATACTCTGTTGAATATATTTATAAGTCAAACACAAAACTCGGACAGGAATAAATCGAGTTTATGGATTTTTAAAAATAGACAACTTAATAGACTTTCTTTTCGGAAAATTCCAACCACCCATCAGGTGTCACTTACTCTTAACTTATCGCTCCCTTTTTATTTTGAAGTCCCTTTTTTCATCTACAAGAATTTTTGATATTATACTGTAATTATTCACACACATCAGTATTACTGTTTTTATGAGGAATTGCACGATCACACTTGAAACGATTCACTTGATTGATACAATCTTAACCTAAACAATCAAGATGTCTTCACTGTTTGTTTACAAAAATATATAAACGTAATAGACAGCTGCTTTTGAGGTATTCTACTTGTGGAAGCAGATTTCCTCCGATGATCAACAAAGCCATTTTGATCTATGACAGAAAGTTGAGTCAAGAAATGGATAGTAATGTCGATTTGATGCCATTGCAACGGAATAGTAACTGAAAAGAGTATATTTCTAGCAATAGTGAAGGAGCGTTGGTGTCATCAATCAGTTGATTTCCATTAGCTTGTTGTTAGTGCTTACAAACTCACCAGCAATATCTGATTTTACTAGTGATTTTATATTGTATCATATTAAATTTTTATGAAAACATTTATGATCAGCTTGGATTTCATTTTCTTTCTACTGATTGATGTAACGTGAAAGTAGTCAGTCTACAGACCCTCAAGTTTATTTGAGGAAATGGACCGTTTTTATATCGAAGAAAGAGTCAAAAATTCTGAGTGAATATCAATTATTCTTGAACCTGGTAGACTAGGATATATATATATAACTTAAAATATGTAAATGTAGTAGAAATTATTTAAAATGAATTATAACTTATTAAGGCAGCTTGAGATGATTGAAATAGAATGAAAGTCTAATGAAGTTTTACGAATATTAAGCGTTGCAGTACTGAACGCTATTCAAAATAAAGACCAAGATAATACCTTTTGTAACAAAGGAAAACCCCAAAGACTAATTTTGGAAATTAGAAAATATTTGGACAAATCAAAACCAACCACTTTACTTTCTTTTTTCACAGGATGGCCAGGATTTGCTTCAAATATTGCAAAGGTGGTCACCGTCTTAAGATGTCAGAGATGAAAAATAGGGAAAAGCTCTATGTGAGTATGGTCAACAACAATAAATTCGCTGTTTTTGTTCTAAAAGGATAATGATATCTGATGAAGTTTCCTTGGTCAGTACTCTCATGAGCATTTCTCCTCACCTCCACTTTACTGTATTTATTTCCGCAGACCGTGTAAGTAGAGATAGAGTATATAAGTTGCATGAGCTTAAACATATCGCAGAGGTCAATATTTTATGAACAAAATGTTTACACTTTAAGTAAGGTCTATCACTCTATCACGATGACCTCTAAAAATAGTATATTTTTGTCTAAAATACACTTATCAGATCGGGTTAGAAAAACCTAGTTAATAGTAGTTATACTAATCATTATTTTATTTTGTTTCTGGAAATTCATTATATGACTCTTCCAAATCTAATTCTTAGTACTACATCATTTTTATATTTTATTTCATTATTCTTATGATAATATCATTCTTATCGCAGCTATCTATATCGAATTGTTCTGTTCCATTTTATCAGATATCTCTCCTGCAATAAAACTACTTCACACGCAACATAGTGTTTTGAGTACTTAGCATGAACCCAGTTATCCACTTTATGTACAAATATGCGTTCTCTTCTTCTTTATTCTGACCTGAAGCATATTTGAACTGAAACAAGTAAAAAAAAATAGCTTATCTTAAGTCAGTTTCTATTTTCCACACTGTTTTCAAGAAAACCTGATAACATCTAACTTTAGGCATGTTTGTTCAACTTACTTATATTATTTGCTTGAAATCAGCTTTCTCCACTTTAGTTATTCAGCTATTGTGAAAAAGGGGTGAAATTCAATCACTCTCATTAAGAAGACTTTATCTTGAATTTGTAATTATCAGAGCTATATCAACCGAAATGCTTATAATTAAATTATTATTATTCCCTTGGATGTAACGTGGAACAACAACACATCTCCTCTTTGTTCTACTTTCTGCTGTCGTCTTTAGCTGAGCCCACGATTGCCCAAAATTTCTTATCTCCTCTTCGCACGATCTCTTCCATATCACCCTTACATAGTTTACTAGCTCTCTAGTTTTCTAGTCGGTTCCAAGCCCGATAAAAGAGGGGAGGGTGACAGTAGGGCTAAAGACCCTACTCCAGAAAATCAATTAAACTGCTAGTAACAAAAAACATTAAAAATATATAAAAAATAAAAACAAACTTATTCTTCTCCAGATTGAAGAGACGAAATGATGCAAACTGATGAAAGCCTTCTGGAAGCCGGTCAGCCTATGTGTCAACTGAAATACTTGGACAGTATCAAATATCGTTTTAAACCAGTTCAGAAAGGACTATGAAGTCCGTCTAAATTAATGAAGACAAGTTCCTGTAACTTTCAAGTAAAACTATTCTGGAAAGCCATTTGCATAAATGATAATTCCATTTAATACTGCGCATTAAATTACTACCAATATCAAAATATTGTAAATACTATTCGACTAGTCAACGTCCAAACATCTAACTCAATTACTTCTATAGGCTCAGATTAAAGTTACTAGGTTATACTGACCACATTAATCAGAAGGATGCATGCATTCGCATACATATGGATGCAGATTAGATAGAAGAAGGTAATTTCTTGACTAAGGTTGGAAATTTAAAACAATTCTGCATGTAATATCTTAGCTGAAGAACTGCACTAATTATTTTGCTCAGTGAACCCGGGAACATGGTCTGTTACACCACTTACAGCACTTTCTTACTGTTTATCATCTGTTCTCAGAGTAATTTTTTGAGATGAATTCATGATAGGCAAAAATATACAGCAATGATAAGAACAAAATCCGTTCAACAGGTATATAGAACCATGAGAAAAAGCTTAACATCGATTATATAACAATGGTTATCTCAAGTAATGGATTCTTCTAAATATAGAACAGAGCAAAATTCATGTGGAAACCATGAATTCAATTAAAAATACATTTTATGAGTAAAAGAACTAGAAACAGGTTAACGTAAAATAGCAGTAAAACTAAGAAAAGGATTTACTAATTACGAATGATATAGGGTGCAATAAGATTTAAAAGCAAACATTTTGTATGAATTCTTCTATCTTATTTAAACGTAATATGGAAATACGTTTTGTGTAACCGTGACATATATATATATATATATATATATATATATATATATATATATGCAAAAGGATCACTGAATCATACTCAATGCTATTATCTTATGCTTAATTCCAGTAAACCATAAAAGCTAAGTTTTCTGCCAACAGGCTTTGGATTGCCTAACATATTTGGTTGAGAGAAATTGAAGCACAGTGCGTAAGAACTAGTAAATACACACTTCTTGTATATAATTTAACCACCGAATTGTAACCATAACGGAGTTTCTGTGGGATATGAGCCATAATTCAAATAGCTTTTCGACTAATTTAT